CTATGAATTGAAAATTGGTTGTTGGAATTTATCCGACTAGTATTAAGATACTAGTCAGGGTGTTGGTGTAAGAATATGTTAGAATTGATCCAAGGTTTGGATTGTGTAACATGGAGCCTTAAGTAGTCTTAAGAGATACTTTAAGGTAGATAGTATGAACTTTAAGTTATACTAGGGGTAGGCCATAAGGGATACCCAAAGTAAAGTGAATAATAAATTGATCCTAGATGTAGGATTGGCCTACGGGTGTATTCCGGTAGTCCTTGAGGATAGCCGGTAGAATTTTGGTAAATAAGTAAGGACCATGGCCCTTCCCGACTCTAGAGAGCGGGGTTGGATAGCATGGACTTTCATCGTGATCACGGGTTAGGGTGGAATCCGAATCGGAGACCTAACTAGGCTCCGGTAGCGGTAACACATAAGATAGGACCCCGAAGGGCCTTTACCTTCCTACGGGATGATGGGTATGAGTCCAGGGGCGGGATGTTGAAGTCCGAACCGAGAGCCTCATGAGGTCCCGGACAGCGGTAGCAAGTCCCGTAGAAATAATAAGACCCGCGGGTTGGGTTGTGCTAATGATAACTGAAAAGGGATATATAATATGGGCCGTGTGCCGACAATTAAATGAATTTACTTATTATGGAGATAATAAGGGGGAAATATAGATTATTATTTATATTATGATATCACCCTATTTTGAGGGTCTTAGAAATTAAAACGTTGATTATACTTAGTATAGTTGTCATTGTACTTGTCAAATGCTTCCAAGTACTGACCTCCCCTTCACGGGGGAGGCCACCTCACAGTTTCAGGTAGGGGCTAAAGCTTGCTATCATCGCCCGTTGCTTCGGGGAGCTAAAGGAGAGAAGACGTGGTTCGTGCTTCCTCTGTATCTATTTTCAAAACAATATTATTAAATGCTCATGGATATTATTTTCTGAATGATTATTTGGGGGCTTGTATGCCCGTGTTTGCCACGTGTGGCTTGAATACTTGTATTAATATTTTCCGCTGCTTAATTAAATGATTTACATTATGATTGTTTATGGATGCACTATTGTGAATGGTATTCAAGACGCCTAGTATAGTATGGATGAGTTGGACTGCGGTTGACTATTCGTACTGTACGGCGGGTTGTTGACGTGTCCGGTAGGTCCGGGGCGTGACATTATACCTTCGAATGATCCACCCTTCTTTAAATCTTTAGGCTTGAGGTTTGAGTATTTTATTTAGGGCTGGAGTGTTATAAGAGAATGGCTGCTATCTTGAGCTGTATTTTAGAAAGCTACAAAGCTGAAATGGACCGCATCTTAGAGTGGAATAGGGCTGAATTGGGATAACAGGGAGTGGCTCAGTGGCCCATTACATGCTATCAACTTTTTTGTGGCCTGGCTTGGCCTGGATTTGTTCCCAATTAAACATTATTTCATTTTGGTCACTACTATGACATCTAAGAGTCTAAGACTGATGTATTTTTAATGTTTCAAACCTTGAGTTGTACTTATTTTTGAATTAAGAACCATAGTACTATAGATTTTACCCATTGAATGTGTTTCAGAAGTTATTATGCTTAAATGATAGCATTACTTTTCATAGACGGACTCAAGTTACATTTTCTCACAAATTCATACAACGTATTGAGTATTGTTTAATAATGGCATAACACTTTCACACCCCTGATTTGCCAATTTACCCGGGCAATTCGTGTAAAAAAATGCAATATATTCTAATATAAAAGTGAAAGAATAGTTAAGAAAGAGTGAATATGTATGTTCGGACTACCCAGTTAATTTCACGTATTTGCACACCCCCTGATAACATTACTTTCATGTTCGGACTCAACTAACATTGTCTCACAAATTCATATTTGAGTATTGTTTAATAGTGTCATAACACACTTTCACACATTTGCACCCCCTGATTTGCCAATTCACCCGGGCAATTCGTGCAAAAAATGCAATTCGTATAAATGCACAATCACCGTATTACTTGAGATGTTCATACTTAGACTTATTTCAGTCTCAGACCAAACCAAACAAACCAGACCAGACCATACTTGGATATATAGTAGAAATAGTAGAAGCACCTATTTGCACATTTCTCCCACAAATTTAGATTCAAGTATAATTCAAGAATGACATAACACACTTTCACATATTTTACTTCCTTATTTTACCTATTTAGAGAGACAATTCGTCTAAAAAATGCAAAATTCGTGTAAATTATAGTCACCTTATCACTTAGTCATTATAAAAAATTTACCTTCAATTAATTTAATAAACCTTTGAACATGAAAAAAATGGTAAAATCATTTGCTCATCGCAAGGTGATTTACTAGCAAAACATTTTACTAAAAGAAATGATTTTGACATAAGTTAGTGCGAGCTAAAATGTGTTGATTCCAAAGCATTTCCTATTAACAACTTCAAATATTAGCAGTCATTGTGGCGCGGTTTTGTTGTTGAAAATGCCTTTTTTAGTCATATTCAACTTTGTGTGGTTGGGTTAGTAATAACTAATCAACATTATAGTGCGTGATACATACTATAAAAACTTTATATAGTATAACTTTATATATTATATAGTATAACTTTTTTAGTCATATTCAATTAAAATTACAAGTTTAGTTTTATTTCAAAATAATTTTGATTAAAACTAACTACACATGTGGAATTTCACCAATCGTGCATCACATGAGCGTTCAACGCATTTCCTATAACGTGGGACTCTTTCAATAGTACATGTATTGTGTAGTTATGTACGGAGTACATTTTTAGGAAAGAAATCACCAACCGTGTGATGCATGATCATTCGATGCGATACAAATGTACTATGACTGTAGATACATTTCTGCGTGCAAGGCTGCTTGCCGCATATTTGGGTTTGAAATTCAATATAAGACCCCGGCAGTTGAACATTTGAGCTTCTATTTGCCGAAAAAATAAAGTGTTGTCTTTGGCGATGATCAACTTCTGAATTCAGTGATTCAGGCATGTTCAGTTAAGGACAATATGTTTACAGCATGGATGGAGGCCAATAAGAAGTACCAAAAAGTAAAGTTGTAGTATTATGAGCACATCAATTTCAATGCACATTTACAATGTTATGGTTACAACGTATTTGTTGGATGTTTTTTATCATTCAAGTAATTCTTAGTAATCTCATTTTGACCATAACATTATAAGTGTGTTTCGTTTAATGCTTTGATGTATATCAGTATTACATGAAGATAGATGTTGTCATCAATTGATAGTGTGATTTGAATTACTAAACACACATAAATTAATTTAAAAGAAAAATTCTCAAACCGTGCATCGCACGGGTAAGTTTACTAGTTTTTTTAAAATAAATTGCTCTTTGTGATGCTCAGTGACATAAGCCCGACGTCACTGTGACGTCATATACTTCCTTTTCCTTCTGCGCACCAAATGCCGTCCTCTGCCAACCGCGGGCCACACCAGCCCCACTCCACCTTTTCTTTTCTTTTCTTTTTCATTTTTCTTTCAACTGTCAATCCTCCTTTATATTTAGTCATTTCCATCCCATTACTCACTTTTACTACTCCGATTTTTAATAAAGTTCACACTTTCATTTTCGAGACGGTCTAAAATAAATTTCACACTTCATTATTTTCTTTTTTTGGCAAAGAAATCTACATCGAAACAGTGCCAAACAGTGTCAAACATTGTCTCAACAGTGTCAAACAGTGTCTCAACAGTGTCAAACAGTGTCTCAACAGTGCCAAATAGTGTACTCTACAGTAAAGTCAAATTTCTTTTTTTATTTTGTGTGAAGTCAAAGTGTGAAAATTAAATAAAACTAGAAGGAGTATCTTTTATAACTCACCCCTACATAAGATGGAGTCCAAAAATGCGATTTTTTACATTTTGGACTCCTAATACCTCACCACTCCAACTAGCCTGCCTCCTAATATGAATACGGAGTATTAAAGTTAAGGAAAAGGACATTAGTTTTCCAGCGGACTGAAATCAACCATCAACGGAATGCGGAGTATGTTTTAACGAATACCCATATTTGAAACCTCAGTCTCAAACTCCTAATTATCACTCTACTTGTGCTGATTGCTGAAGGCCAAGGAAACTGGCTTTCTGTCTTTTTCTCCCCTTATTACTTCACTCCCCAATTTCTTACACTAAATTCCAATACCGCAATGGAATTTACCTTAAGAAAATTGGGGAGTGAAGTAATAAGGGGAGAAAAAAAGATAGAAAGCCATTTGGAAATGATTAAAGAACTGTTCGCGGTTGCTTGCTGGTAACTTCTAGTGCTCCTTGTTGGACTTCTCTGGTGTTTCTTGCTGTTTGGAAATGATTAAAGAACTGTTTTTTATTAGGGCAGCAACTAGTTTGCTGGGTTGGTGTTTATTATGGGAAAGGTTTTTGGACTATACATGAATGGTGTAATGTTTGAACTCTTTATTTTGATGCTTAAACAATTTTTGTCTTTGTAATGCTTAAGCTAGGAGGGGATGCCCCTTGTATGTTCTATATATATATTTGCAGCTATTTAAATATTTTTCTTTCATAAAAAAAACTTTCACCAGTTCATTAGTAGGGGGTGTTTGGAACTGATTCTGCGTCTGCTTCTTTTTAGAGTAGAAGCAGAATCAGAATCAGCTTTCAGAAGTAAATTATACGAGTTTTATAAAAAACTGAAGTAAATTATAGGAGTTTTATAAAAAACTGATTCTAGAAGTAAATTATAGCACCAGAATCACTTCTGCACTTCACCCAAACATTCCAACTTCTGCTTCTGCTTCGAGAAGGAATTTTAAGAATCAGATCCAAACATCCCCTAAATTTCTTGTCTCCCTCTGTCTCCCATGTGGGTGGACGCATGGTCTTGTGTGAATGAACGCGGTACAAAGGTACCCACCACCACCACTCATATTTATGACTTGGAAATGGTGGGGTAGGAAGCTTCTGTTTGATTCCCATCTAGTCTAGAGTACAACTCCACTGATTGCATTTCTGTTGAATCTCATACACTGCTTTAACAACAAACATCACATTTTGGGCTAAAAATATCTCCAGTTGTTCTTTTGGTTTTTCTTCTTCTTTTCTTTCCAACTTTATCCATTCTAGTGATCCTACTCCCCCATTTTTGTGCTCAAAGAAACATCGGATTTTGTGCAAAGTAAATTCCATGTTTACTTGTTTTTTATATATCTGTTGTTTTTGAAAATCCATTTGGATTGTAGTGGTTAAAAAATCAGGGAAAGAGGGAGAAGATGTTATAATTTACAAGACAAGCTAGAGCAGTCATACAAAACGTATTGTCACTCCTTACTAGGTTCTCTACTTCTGCAGTTCTGCTGTTGCTTATTTAATTGTTTGTCCAGTTTTGTTGTGTGGGTATAGGTGTCTTGCCATATATGGATATGGATAATCAACATAGAAGATTGTCTGACTCCAATGTACACAAACTTGAGTTGGAGAATGAGATCATCTTTTCTGCCATTAAACAATCAGCAGACATTCCAGAGAGCTATAATAGTGCCCTTTCAATTGCAAAACCTCCTAACCATGCTCTTTCTATGGACTCTGATCGCGTGATGAAGTACCTCAACCACATACTACTGGAGGACGACATTGATGATGAGAACAACCATGACTCCTTCTGTGATCCCGTTGCACTTAGAGCTGCAGAGAGTTCTCTTTACGAAGCCATGCATGATAAGCATTCCTCACATTTTGAAACCTCAGTCGGGAGCCTCAAGTATGGTGATGATTGTACTGATCTCCATCCACGAAAATCATTTGTGGCAAGTGATTCATCAAATCTCTCCATCCAGCCATCATCATGTCAGACTGACTCTGATGGGCTAAACCCTTACTTATATGACATCAATAGTGCACTGATTTCTCGAATGGACGCTTACCTAAGTTCTGCAGATTCAATTCCCAATAAATTTTGTGATGTTGGAGATGAGACCATCTTGCATTTCAAGAGAGGTGTGGAGGAAGCTAGTAATTTCTTACCTGCAGGGGGTCGGTTGGTTATCAAATTCGATAATTACCCATTACCTCCAGAGGCCGAGGAATTGACCAGAGGTGTTGCTGTCAATATAGAGGAGCATACAGCTGATTCACGCAGAGGAAGGAAACATTACTGTTCAAATGAAAATGTCCTAGAAGAAAGAAGCAGGAAGCACGCTGCAGTTCATAATGAGGATGCAGTTAAGCTATCCGAGGTGTTTGATAAGGTTTTTCTGTGTACTGATGATGATGATGATTCTCCCTGTGGAGTCAGCCACACTCAACAACAAAGAGGGCGAAGTGGCCCCAAGAGCTATTCAAAGAAGCAAGGTCAAGTTGTGGATCTCTCGGCTCTTTTAACCCGCTGCGCAAAATATGTTGCTGTTGGTGATTATAGGGCTGCAATAGATGAATTGAAGAAAATCGGGAAGCATTCTTCGCCTACGGGGGATGCAAGCCAAAGGCTGGCTCATGCATTTGCTGATGCTCTTGAGGCACGGTTGACAGGATGTGGGACACAACTATATGTTCCATCATTTCGTAATACCATCTCAGTTTCCGGGTTGATAAAATCCCACATGTCATCATCTTTGCCATTTATGAGATTAATATATTTGTTTTCAAATCAAATGATTTACGAAGCAGCATCAAGAGGCTCATCACTGCATGTTATAGACTTTGGTATTCTTCATGGTATGCAGTGGCCCACTCTTATTCGGGATCTTTCACGAAGGCCCGGTGCCCCCCAAGACTTCGAATAACAGGGATTGAGCTTCCCCAACCTGGTTTCCGTCCATCACAAATGGTAGTGGATACAGGTCTTCGCTTGAGAAAATTTTGCAAGCGTTTCGGTGTACCATTCGAGTACAATGCCATTACAACACAACATTGGGAGGCCATTAAGATTGATGAATTGAAACTTGCAAGTGGTGAGGTGGTTGCTGTTAACTGTGTTGTCCGATTCAAACACCTATTGGATGAGGCAGCATTTGGTGAGCCCAGTCCCAGGGATGCAGTTTTAAACTTAATACGGGAAGTGAATCCTCATATTTTTGTGCATACTGTGCATAGTGCATCTCACAGCTCTCCTTTGTTTCTCACTCGGTTTCGAGAGGCTCTCAACTTATACTCCGCTTTCTATGATTCGTTCGATGCACTTTTCCCTCGCGATGATAATCAAAGATTGGATTTCGAACAAGAATATATGGTGCACGAAATAAGGAATATCATAGCATGTGAAGGAATGGAAAGAATAGAGAGGCCTGAAACATACAAGCAGTGGCAAGCTCGCTCTATGAGGGCTGGGTTGGAGCCTGTGCCCTTAAACCCTCAAGTTGTGGGGAATTTAATAGGCAAAGCCAGAACATCATATCACAAGGACTTTCTGTTTGCTGAAGACGGTCATTGGGTACTGCAGGGGATGAAAGGTCGGATAGTTTCCGCCAGTTCTTGCTGGGTAGCTGCAAAAAGTGTCAATAATAAGCGCTTATAGTGTTGGAGTATAGTATTTCAGAAACTCTACATAACATTTTGAGCCATTACCGTTTGGTGTTTCTTGTGTTTCCATGTCTGCACAACATAACTAGCAAGCCTTTTCAAGTTTTTGAAGCGTTAAATTGTTGTAATATAGCTGGTTTCTTGTGTTTCTATGTATTCTCAAGACTTTTTTTTTGAAGAACAGTCATATGTTAATGTTTTTATATAGGGTTAGGGTATAATGCTGTATGATGAATAATTATGTCGCATGACAATAATTACATTAAATAATTATGTTGATTTACATTAAAAACAGTCGTATGGTTTACATATTAATAGTGTTTTTTTAATGAAACAATTACAAATTTATGACTACTTTAAAAGTTGTTTACCAAAAAAAAGGATGACACTATTAAGCGGAAGGATGTAAATTTGACTTTAATCACAAGCTTGCAGATAGCGAGATAGCAAGTGAGGCTTTTACATAGTAACTTCGCATCGCAGTTACCGAGATTCAAACCTGAAACTTACCCCATGTGGCACCCCTATCTACCAGTTGAGCTACACCCATCGGCTTAAAAGTTGTTTACATGAATGTGAGCCTGAGGCAGCAGATCATGCAGCAAGATAAGGGGGTGAGGGGCAGCTTTGTTGCTCTCTTGTGGTGCATTTGGAAAAGACGGAACAAGGCGGTGTGGGAGGAGAAAAGTCAGGAGGCCTCAGCAGTGTTTCATATGGCAGCCAGTATGATAATCAATTGGAAGGAAGCTCAGCTGGGCCTTCCCATCGCGGCAGCAGAAACGCAGCTAACTGGGAGGACGGTAGGCGACCAAGCAGTGCCTTCGGCCGGAGATAATTGGCATGCACCGAAGATGGGGGCAATAAAAATAAATGTGGACGGAGCAACTAACCAGGACGGAGGAATAAGAGCGTGGGGATGGATTGCAAGGGATGATCAAGGGGAATTCATTCGAGCACAAAGAGTCTCTCATCGGGCCGAGTGGTCAGCACAAGAGACAGAAGCTATGGGGATTCGGGATGCCATTTAGGAGGCCATTGCAGCAGGATGGAATCGGGTGGTGGTTGAGAGTGATGTGCTAACGGTGGTGCAGGGGCTGAAACGGAAGAGTGGAGGGTCATATTTACAATTAATTATTGATGATATTGTTGTTCTTCTTGAGTCAAAGAGTAATTTTGATATCTCTTTTTGTAAAAGGTCTGCGAACCATGTAGCTCATACTTTAGCTAGAGCACATGTTAGTTCACCAGATCAGAGGGTTGAGTACGTAGCTATTCCCGATTGTATTTCTAGCCGTTTGGCTAATGATCTTTTAAATTAATATATTGAGGTTTTGATGATAAAAAAAATACTCGTAGCAATAATAATGTAATCCTGTAATAATATACTAAGAACGAAAACTAACTAGTCCAAAAGTGGATACTAATTCAAATGCTCTATATTACGTTCTTTTCTTTTAGATTGTTTTCAATCCAAGATCAGCCTGATCAGATCATACTTAAGTAGATCAGATCAGATCATACCAGACTTGAACAACTACAAAATATACAGAGATCAGACATTACTAGACAAGACCAGACCACTCTTAAACATACCGGACCAGCAAATTTCAGTTCAAGAAAAGTCAATTTGATCGATCTTTTTGGGGTGGAGGTGGTATAAGAATTGTGTGCACTACTAATTAGCAATTAATAATCCTTATCCTTATACTTAATAGCTACACAAATGAATCAGAACCGTTCATTTCAAATTATGATATCACCGTTAGATTTTTATCTATTCTCCTTCAGTAATTCTCTTTCCACCCCTGTATTTCCTCCGCCGAACCCTTCTATTCCTTCTGTTTGCCTTATCTTCTTCATCCGAAAGCCAACACTCCAATCTTCTTCTTCAACCGGAAGCCTCCACCAATTCATATTATTAATCATGTCAACTGTCCGTATAAACTCATTCAGTCATTCCTCATCCGGTCGATTATCATTTATTTCCCCTTTCATTTTCAGATATCTCCGATCAATCTCACAGCGTCCATCTCCTCTCAATTTTCCGCCTTCCTCCATTAATCTACTGCTACTCTTTCTACCTTAGAAACCTGTCACCTATATATGGTTATTATCACAATAGTTTCGTTTTACAAAAAATGGCTGCACATTCCGCAGTCAAACACATTGTATTAGTCCAGTATAGGGAACTGGACCGCTTCACGGCTCCATCGTGTCCAAGCTATTTGGAAACCCTCCACACCAAGCCGGCAATTGTTGCTGTAATTGAAGAGATCGACAAGCTTCGTCTGCCTCTCCCAGTGGAAGAGGAAGTCGTCATTCCCGTGTGAGAACAGTTACCAACTTTTTATAATTAGGAAAACACCTTGGTCACATTCTGTTGAATGTTAATTAATTATTTACTAACTTATTCTTGCTCAATTAGATTGCTCTTATTTGTTAGGACTTTAGTGTAGTATAAATGCATTTAGTATAAAGTCTGATCTGGGTGAGAGGCAAGTGACAAAGAACTGAAGAAGAACATTTGTAGCTTAGATAGGACTGATGCAGGAGATGGATGAGAGTTTCTTGAGAATGCATTGTCTCCTCATCTGAAGATGATTTCTCTATTTTCCTTGACAAACTAATCTTTCATCATCTTCCTCGCAAGAAAAAAATTACAATCAAGTGTAGTTTCGAAATGTCTAAATTTTAGCTATTGTACTGCTTTGACATATTATAACTTGTGTCAATACCTCTATAACATATTCCTCACTTATAACTAAGAGATCGGCTCTGTTTTGTAAAAGAATGAGTGAAAATAAGCTCATTTCTTAAACCTTTTCACATATATAAGCTATTCAACACCTAATTCTATCGAACACTTCTAATACCTAGCTTTTTCTATATCAGCTTTTAGCTATTGTACTGTTTTAAGCTAGCTTTTCAGCTCCTAGCTCTTTCTATACCAGCTTTTAGCTATTGTACTGCTTTGACATATTATAACTTCTGTCAATACCTCTATAACATATTCCTCACTTATAACTAAGAGATCGGCTCTGTTTTGTAAAAGAATGAGTGAAAGTAAGCTCATTTCTTAAACCTTTTCACATATATAAGCTATTCAACACCTAATTCTATCGAACACTTCCAATACCTAGCTTTTTTTATATCGGCTTTTAGCTATTGTACTGTTTTAAGCTAGCTTTTCAGCTCCTAGCTCTTTCTATACCAGCTTTTAGCTATTGTACTGCTTTGACATATTATAACTTCTGTCAATACCTCTATAACATATTCCTCACTTATAACTAAGAGATCGGCTCTGTTTTGTAAAAAAATGAGTGAAAGTAAGCTCATTTCTTAAGCCTTTTCACATATATAAGCTATTCAACACCTAATTCTATCGAACACTTCTAATACCTAGCTTTTTCTATATCAGCTTTTAGCTATTGTACTGTTTTAAGCTAGCTTTTCAGCTCCTAGATCTTTCTATACCAGCTTTTAGCTATTGTACTGCTTTAAGCTAGCTTTTCAGCTCTACGTGCTAAATTGACAAGCTGAGAACAACTTGATGTTGGTGTAGTGGCGTGATGCTTCGACCTAATACGTGACTTTGATTGAAGGAGCTTAGAGGCAGAGTCGCAGTTGTTATGTCATTTCCTCCTCACCTCATAAAAGTCACGAAATCCAGAATCATAGTGCAGACAAGGAGGTACAAGGGGAGAAAATATGGGCAGAAAGTAGTCAAAGGAAACACTCAACGAAGGTTCTGATTTTCTTCTGTAAGTGAGAAATTCCTTTAGTTGTTAGAGTGAGTTTTCTTGCATTATTTAACATTATATAGCTCCCAGAAACAACTACTTTTCTCTTTTTAGGTTTATAAAGGTATTAAAAAAATCATATCTCAGTGTGTTAATTCTTTAGTTTTAGAGGTCACACCAATTATTATGTGATTTCAGTAGCACTATTAAATTGAAATACATGGTTCTGCTCCAGCTTTTTATTTTTAGAGTCAAATATTATATGATTAAGTTAATACTAATGTATTTTACTGAAATACCTAAATACAAATTTCAGATAACTTAAAGTTTTTTATTATTATGTAGAGTAGTTATAATTGCAACTTAATTAAACTCATTTTAAATATAATTTCTTGGGCAGATAAGTATCACTATTTGAAGACAAGGTTGAACGTCGTGATTAGCACGTGAAGATGTCTAGGCTGCAGTTGGAGCAGCCAAGCCGTAGTAGGTATGATTTTCTCTGCTTTCTATTTTATTGTGCAGTTAAATGAACAATAAGCATGAGAGATGTATTTGCAGGTTCATGGGTTAAAATTTATGGCATAAAGGTCACTACAATATACATATATCATCATTGGCTAGATGGTTATTATTTAGAATAAGCATTTTTTTAATCTTTCCAAGCATGTTTTACTGTAATCATCTGATTTATGATAAACCGAAGTCCTATTTATTTAATTAGTTTTTATATTTGCTTTTATATAGGGTATATTGATTTTGGAATTCCCTGAGAAATGAACTTTGATGTAAAGTCATCATTGCATGTGAATTTTGACATGCTAAGTACGAAACCTTGAATTCGAGTAAAACCATTAGCACAACTCAAGTTATTGAAAAAATCCTAATAAATATGAGTTCCTTTTAATTATATTCTCTTTACTTAATCTATTTACAAGAATGGTAAGTCATGGACGCAGGGAAATATTTCCAATAAGATGTAAAAGCGGATGAATATTTTCACAGCAGGTAATCTTCCATCGGGATCTTATGAAACGTAATAATGATATCTTAGGAAATATTTGCTGCTCCTTTCATTCTTATGAAACATAATAATTATGCATAGCATAATAACTTTATGGAATGATTTGCTTATGCAGCTAGATGATTTGCTACCAGATATCGCTTGGAGACTCAAAGTTTATGATTTTAGATTGAGTGCTCTTTCCCAGCACATCCGGGTAATCCCATAGGCCATAGTTATACCCCCTTACCCTTGCAATGATTTTCTCATAATAATAATTCAAAAGTATTGCAGTTAAAATTTGTGGCTGAATTCTGAGATGTAAGTTGTGATTAGGTGGTTGTTTGGCAGCTACTCCTTACTTATCATCCTGAATTGAAGATGAATGAGTTATAGGTGCCATTAGGAAGATTGAGATACTAAAGCCCACTGATATAATAACGAGGTGATGAAAGCAGTACTCATATTATATTATTAGGATAAACTTTTTAGTATGATTATGATAGTGCGATTGAAGAAAAGATATTCAATTAGATATTCATTCTGTGTGATTGTAGCAATCCAGAATTTGAAAATCCTATTAATTGACTAGCTTCATTATTTGTTACTATAATTGCTAACTTGCAGAGTTTGGCAAAGATGACCCTGTGATCATAGAGAACCATGGTGGAGGTGTTTATCAACAAACTAAAACAAATGGAAGACAAGAAGATCCAATCTAAATAAAAATCTACAACCACTGATTATATATGAGCCAGTTTTTTCATGTATTTTAGAGGTTCCGAAACTGTTATTACAGTCCCTATTTCATGTGCTTATAAATTCAACCTCAAGTATGAATGCTAGCAACTAGACAACTGCATGGTATACTTTGTTCTAATACAAGTATGTGTGATGATGGTGGATCGGTCTGGTTCTGAATTCCTAATAGTCCGGTTTCCTATTCCCCTCCACAAGAACCGATACCGGGGTTGGACTGTTGGACCGGTTCCTGTCGGGATATAGTGGGGTTCCCTATGATGGTTAGCTATGTGATGACGATGAATTTGTATGTAATGTTACATTTTAGCATCTTCGGTGACCCTGTTTTTCGTCTTATTAGTCAACTTTTTCACTAAATACAAAACTTTTGATTTGGTGTGCTGAATCAATATAAGTAAAATTGAACTTACTTTTTTGACTGAATTGATTGAAATTATTGTAGAAGATTTTTTTAGCTATTTTTTCATATAACTTCTTCTATGTTTTATCAATAAAATATATTTTAACATCAACAGAATCTCATAAATTTCAACAGAATGAATTGATCCAACCAATTTTAATATTACCAAATGAGTTCATAAAAATTGCGAACTTTTTAATTCAAACCAGGAGGCAAATTTATGCATTCATTTAGGAAAATGATTAAATTACTATAAAATAAAGTAAAACAAATTCTCACCCGTGCAACGCACGGGTGGAAAAACTAGTTATAGCAACAATTGTAATACAATTGAAAAGTTTTCATTTAAGAATAATAATAATGATGATAATAATGATAATAATAATAATCATAATAATGATAATAATGATAATAATAATAATAGTAATAATAGTAATAATACTAACACTAATAATAGTAATAGTAATAATAATAATAGTAAAATACAAAAATCAACAATTTCTTTCATTGGTTCGTTATCATGTAACGAATATTCACCTTAAAAGGTGGTTTGAAGATTTTTATATGTGATGACGAGGATCGTGCTCCACTAATATGTGGTCTACAAGGAAGTTTTTGAAATTTTATTATACCTTTTGAAAAGTATGAACAATTATGATTATTCTGTTTTATGCTTTTATGAGACCTACTAATAATTATACACCGTATATAACATTATTATTTCCATTACCACATAGAATTTATCGCCACACCTTATCATTTACCTTAATTTTCAATTGCAATTTTTCATATGAGCAAAAACTTTAGGGCTTGTTTACTAACAGAGATATTTTACAGTTTTCCTGAAAACTGGAAAACTGGAAAACAGAAAACAGGAAACGTGTTTACCAAAGAAATTCCTAGAAAACTGGAGAAAGGAAAAAAGAAAAACGCGTTTACCAAATCGTTTTCCAAAACAGAAAAAATGAGACATGTCTCTCTTTTCCTTAATGATTTGGAGAAGTGACTTTTATTAGTTTTCCAAATTTGGAAAACGAATACTACCTCCGTTCTTTAATAAATGCAACATGTGAAATTTTACACTATTCACATGTTCTACTTTGACTACATTTTATTTATTGATGTATTAATATATATTTTTTGAAAAATATATTATTATATTTGTCTCATTGTAAATTTTCAAAAACTGATTTTTTAAAATTTTTTACTAATAGAGAATTATATATATTAATGGTCAAAGTTGTGTCTCGGCATGTGTGAAATGTTGATTGTTGCACTTATTTAAGAACGGAGGAAGTATGCTACAGTGCCGCTGCAATGAATTTGCATACTTACACCTAGTGGTGGGTCCGGTCCCGCTCCGATGTCGATTCCATTCCGGTACCTCCATCCTCGTACCTTACCCCTTACCCCTACCCTACCCTACCCTACCCTACCTTACCCACCCAACCCACCCCGCATACCCATTTTTCCCTATAATGACCCTACCCCACCCCGATCCACCCTACCCTACCGCCACCCCCCTACCACCTCGACCCCATCCTACCATATCCCCACCCGTATATTACTCCTTATCCCTTACCACATGCCCCTACCTCGGCCCCACCCCACCGCCATCCTACCCCCACCCTCGTACCGCCATCCTACCCCCACCCTTCCGCCATCCTACCACATTCTACCCCCCCACCCTACCCTACCGCCACCCCCTACCACCTCGACCCCACCCCGACCCACACTACCCTACCCCCACCCGTATATTACCCCTTACCCCTTACCACATGCCCCTACCTCGGCCCCACCCCACCGCCATCCTACCCCCACCCTCGTACCGCCATCCTACCTCCACCCTTCCGCCATCCGACCAACATCCTACTCCCCACCCTACTTTTCCCCTACCTCGGCCCCACCCAGATCTTGGGCCCACCCTATCGCCATCCTATCCCACTACCCCTACCTTACCCTAACCTCAACCCTACCCAGTACCCCCACCTTTACCGCCATCCTACCCCCACCCTCTACACCTTCCCTACCTCAGCCCCACCCTACCGCCATCCTATCCCAACTCCATACCCTACCTCTACCTCACCCCAAACCCTACCCACTACCCCACCCTTACCCCTAACCACGACCCTAACCCACCAACTACCCCCACCCAACCCCCTACCCTAGACCTTACCACCCCACCCCGACCATACCCCCCACCCATAACTTCCCTACCCCGACCCCTATGAGTAGGTATGGGTGGGTATGAAGGGTTGTGGGGGAGTATGGGTAGAGTGTAAGATCGTGGTAAGGGTAGGGTTCAAGGGTGTGGAATTGGAGAACTGAGTGAAAAAATTGATGAACATGTTTTCAGATTTGAAAATGGAAAACTAAAAAATAGAAAAACTGAAAAATAAAAACGGAAAATTGGAGAACGAAAAACAAGTAGAAAACATGAAAAAATCTATGTTAGTAAACAGGCCCTTATTTTCTTACAACTACTATTATATACGGAGTAATAATCAAAGCTATGACATATAAACTAGCTTGAATTTTTTTAAAATGCACATTACGTATCATCACAATAAAATATACTTCGTATTTTAAATAAATTGTTATTCTATTCTAGATTATTAATAGATTATGCATCGCACGGGTACTTTGTCTAGTATTACTAATTTACATTGTTTGTGACTAGTTCGATAAAAGTTCATGAATATATACGTTCTATGTAATATAGTCAAGATGAATATTTTTTTTATCGATATAAAATCTTTAAGTTACATAAAAATAAAAGTTAATTACTATTAATAATCTGTAAAAACATATCATCATCTTACAACAAATTACAACATACATACATATATAAAAGACATAATAGATCAATATAGCTACATTATTACATGCAATGAATGTGTAAATGAACTTATAAATTAAACTAAACTAAACATAACACAAAGATTATTTTTCTAGCACAAGAAACCAAAACTATTGATGATATTAGGATTAATGCTTAACAATTAACAAATAAATTTCATATTTTAATTAGTTCGATTTGTTCAGTTCGGTTCGATTTTGAAGTGTAAAAACCAAAATCAAACCAAACAACTATGGTTCGGTTTGGTTTATTACATTTGGTTTTGGTTTTTTAGCGGTTCGGTTTTATTTGGTTGTGGTTCAGTTTAATTTGATTCGGTTTTTGTTTTTTCGGACCCAGTCTTACGCTCCATGGTCATCTTGGAAGAAACCAGAAAAGCTCATCAACATGCTTCAACCTCTGCTCTTCTCCATACCAGTCATGCAAGCACATCGGAGTCCACATGTGGTCGTGGTGGCCGTACGTCCAATAATGGACAACATCAGTCCCCATCCCGTGGTGGTCGTGGCCGGGGGTCTGGTCATTCTAATAGCCTGGCGTCTCAGTTTCCACTTGCATCATGGAATATACCCATAGGTTTGACATAGAAGAGATACTATATTACTCCCTCCGTCCCGCTATTAACTTCCTGCTTTCCATTTTGGGTCGTCCCAAAATCATCTTCTGATTTCCCTAAATGGAAAGTTATCCTACATCCAAACAGTGTCAAATAGTGCCAAACAGTGTCTAAATAGCGCCAAACAGTGTCTAAACAGTAAAGTCAAATTTATTTCTTAAATATGTGTGTAGGTCAAAGTAGGAAGTTAATAGCGGGACGGAGGGAGTATGTTTGAAGCACATAAAAAAACACGCTCACTAACATTCAAACCTAACTCTTCCTCCATACAAGTCATGTATTGTACATTAAGTCTCCGTATCTCTTACATAAAAAAATTGATGTCATAAAATCATATCCATAGGCTCATTTAGTACTATGGTAGTTTACACGTTAAATTTTTGCACATAAAATGATTATATGCAAAGACTAGGGAAGCAGTCACTTGTATATAAAATAAATTGCATTGTTTGATTAGATGTGTAATTTGTTTTTAAATTAGGTTGTCCCTTTGCATGAAGCATGGATGGATCAAGCACAATTCGTGATCCAGTGTAAGTCGCCCAATAAGCACGGTCGGGGATGAGTTTCAAAACTATTTTATATGAAGTGGCATATCCGGAAGATGAGAAATAGGATCCACTAAATATGATAAGACAAACTATGTTGTCTACACATAGCTAATACATGTGAGCATGGAATCTTATATATTTCCACCTTCTTACAAGAACAAGTACGCCTCTACAAATTAACTATTTTCTTTTTCTCACCCTTTCCTAACGTTCGGCCGCCACATCCCATTTCCACTAGGTATATATAGCCCTCATCCTTACTAAATGTAATGACAATGTGGTGTTTCACTTTCTCCTTATTCTTCTCAATGATATATGTAATGTGTGGCGAGTATTCATGGCCTTCTCTCATTCTTCTTGTGTTACTTTCACGTCTCTCTACATAATATGCATTGACCTTGTAAAAGGAAACTTAAACCAATGTTGTGATGGACAAGGATCATGCACTTTTCATCACACTGTTGAAAACCTCAACCATATTATAAGTTGTGTTACTGTATCTGAATCTCTCATCATGGTGTAATGACGATTTTTCCAAGGAAATGTTCCCCATAAATTGTCGTGCCTCCACCCGCATTTTGCCTATCCTATTGAACCCACCGTCAATTTTTTTTCCTGATGTTGTCGTGTGATCCAAACAAAATGATTTTTCAAGTGAATGTCTTTGAAATGCGTGTGCACATTTGATGCAAGATGACGCATACACAGCCTGTGGTGCGCAAAGGGCTCCTCCCAACCACTCCCCACCTCATTCATTGCCTTTAAAATACCTGGATACCTATTAGAAATGTTAGAACTTTTATTGTGGGTCAAGTTTGTCTGTAATGTCTTG